TACCTATTTCTGCGTGTATTTACTTGCAGGCAGATTTTGTAATCATGAAATATAAGCACTGTGCCATTCTCATACATATGTATAGACATGACGGTAAATCTCTTTAGCCAGTCATGAAATCTGATTATCTTGTTGACCCGTTAAGTTAAGGGCAGTCAGGACGGCCTCATACTAAGTGCACCTGTCCTGCTATTGCTGAAGGCTTACAAATCTAGTTAATCCATTTCACCTATAACACGAGACGTAGGTAATCAGTTAATGCGTTGAGCTATAGCAGAAGTCCTATAAAGATTGAATGCAACCGTTAAGCCATTGCACGAGACTCTCATATTGAGTGAAGACTAAATATCGAATACACTAAGATGGACGCAAGACACTCATGTAAATAAATCTATAAAATTTCGTTATATATGTAACATGCCGGAAAAACACTGTACCTTACATCTGTGTCGTTTTAACAACTGTTATCACACGTTTGTTTTTTACGTTAATCTTTCTGGATGTACAATTGAGACAATGAAATGAGGCTTACGTCTATTTTACGTGTTTAGTATACCTATCTCCTTAACGGTGCAGTTATGGTGGAAGGCCTGCATGCATGGCTTAACAGTTCGGATACACTATGAGGCATTCTAACATGAAATACTAGTTCAGCTAGTCAGGAGGCATGCAAACATGGCTTATTCGTTCATATATGACATGACCCTCATACTAGGCTTTCTGGTTCAGCTATTTCTAGAGGCCGACTTACATGGCTTGCTAGATCAACTATCAGGAGGCCTGCATACATGGCTTACTAGATCAACTAATCAGAAGGCCTGCATACATGGCTCACTAGATCAACTAATCAGGAGGCCTGCATACATGGCTAACTATATCAACTAATCAGGAGGCCTGCATACATGGCTTACTAGATCAACCTATCAGAAGGCCTGCATACATGGCTTACTAGATCAACGAATCAGAAGGCCGGCATGCATGGCTTACTAGATCAACTAATCAGGAGGCCTGCAGACATGGCTAACTAGATCAACTAATCAGGAGGCCTGCATTCATGGCTTACTAGATCAACTAATCAGAAGGCCTGCATACATGGCTCACTAGATAAACTAATCAGGAGGCCTGCATACATGGCTCACTATATCAACCAATCAGGAGGCCTGCATACATGGCTTACTAAATCAACTAATCAGGAGGCCTGCATATATGGATTACTAGATCAACTAATCAGGAGGCCTGCAGACATGGCTAACTAGATCAACTAATCAGGAGGCCTGCATTCATGGCTTACTAGATCAACTAATCAGGAGGCTTACATTCATGGCTTATTAGATCAACTAATCATGAGGCCTGCATACATGGCTTAGTAGATCAACTAATCAGGAGGCCTGCATACATGACTTAGTAGATCAACTAAACAGGAGGCCTGCATATATGGTTTACTAGATCAACTAATCAGGAGGCCTGCATACATGGCTCACTATATCAACCAATCAGGAGGCCTGCATACATGGCTTACTAGATCAACTAATCAGGAGGCCTGCATACATGGCTTACTAAATCAACTAATCAGGAGGCCTGCATACATGACTTAGTAGATCAACTAATCAGGAGGCCTGCATATATGGTTTACTAGATCAACTAATCAGGAGGCCTGCATACATGGCTTACAAGATCAACTAATCAGGAGGCTTACATTCATGGCTTATTAGATCAACTAATCAGGAGGCCTGCATACATGGCTAACTAGATCAACTAATCAGGAGGCCTGCATACATTGCTAACGAGATCAACTAATCAGGAGGCCTGCATACATGGCTTACTAGATCAACTAATCAGAAGGCCGGCATGCATGACTTAATATATCAACTAATCAGGAGGCCTGCATACATGGCTTAGTAGATCAACTAATCAGGAGGCCTGGATACATGGCTTATTAGATCAACTAATCAGGAGGCCTGCATACATGGCTTACTAGATCAATTAATCAGGAGGCCTGCATCGTGGCTTAGTAGATCAACTAATCAGGAGGCCTGGATACATGGCTTAATAGATCAACTAATCAGGAGGCCTGGAGACCTGGATCCATGGCTTACTAGATCAACTAATCAGAAGGCCGGCATGCATGGCTTACTAGATAAACTAATCAGGAGGCCTGCATACATTGCTAACTAGATCAACTAATCAGGAGGCCTGCATACATGGCTAACTAGATCAACTAATCAGGAGGCCTGCATACATCGCTTAGTAGATCAACTAATCAGGAGGCCTGAATACATGGCTTACTAGATCAACTAATCAGAAGGCCTGCATACATGGCTTACTATATCAACTAATCAGAAGGCCGGCATTCATGGCTTACTAGATCAACTAATCAGGAGGCCTGCATACATGGCTTACTAGATCAACTAATCAGGAGGCCTGGAGACCTGGATACATGGCTTACTAGATCAACTAATCAGAAGGCCGGCATGCATGGCTTACTATATCAACTAATCAGGAGGCCTACATACATGGCTTATTAGATCAACTAATCAGGAGGCCTGCATACATGGCTTACTAGATCAACTAATCAGGAGGCCTGCATACAGAGCTTCCTAGATCAACTAATCATAAGGCCTACATACATGGCTTATTAGATCAACTAATCAGGAGGCCTACATACATGGCTAATTAGATCAACTAATCAGGAGGCCTGCATACATGGCTTACTAGATCAACTAATCAGGAGGCCCCCATACATGGCTTAGTAGATCAACTAATCAGGAGGCCTGGATACATGGCTTATTAGATCAACTAATCAGGAGGCCTGCATACATAGCTTACTAGATCAACTAATCAGGAGGCCGGCATGCATGGCTTACTAGTTCGTATATGACAGGGCCCTCATACTAGGATTTATGAATTAGCTATTTCATGAGGCCAGCTTACGTAGCTATGTCAGAAGGCCTACATACATTGCACATGACTTTCTAGTTAAGTGAAGTCAGGGGGCCTTCGCACATGACTTTCTTTTTCAGCTATCTCAGGAGGCCTGCATACATGACTCTCTAATTCAGCCTAGCCAGGATGCCTGCGAACATGGTTCACTAGTTCAGCCTAGCCAGGAGGCCTGCGAACATGGTTCACTAGTTCAGCCTAGCCAGGAGGCCTGCAAACTTGGTTCACTAGTTCAGCCTAGCCAGGAGGCCTGCGAACATGGTTCACTAGTTCAGCCTAGCCAGGTCTGCGAACATAGTTCACTAGTTTAGCATAGCCAGGAGGCTTCCGAACATGGTTCACTAGTTCAGCCTAGCCATGAGGCCTGCGAACATGTTCACTAGTTCAGCTTAATCAGGAGGCCTATGAACATGGTTCACTAGTTCAGCTTAATCAGGTCGCCTGCATACATGGCTTACTAGTTCAGTTATATCAGGAGGTTTACTTATCTTATTATATGTTTAACTATGGCAGGAAGCCTGCATACATGGCTAATCAAATCTTCTATGGTAGGAACTCTTTATCAAGCTTGACTGTTTTACATTGTTTACCATCATCTGTCTGACAAACTTCGTTGTAGAGATAGGTACAGGTATAATATCACATAGTTTTGTATATTACTTTCTACATATGTACCAATCTACACAGTTATAGCTAATACATTCTTTGAATTTACAAAAACAAAAAACAATAAAATAATTCTTCGACTTCTGCACTAAGAGTTTGTTCCCACTCATCGCTTGTTCTAGAAGGTAAAAGCAGCTCTCATTTTATCTGGCAGCACCACGTCCCACATAATAAATCAAATGATGAACAAATTATCTATTGAAAACAAAGTTATATTTTGTATGCGTTCATCATCTTTTTCAAGTAAAGCAATCAAGCTAAACTCCATGTATGTAACAACATTCTGTTGCCTATAAAACATTCCATGGCTATATCAACTTTCCATTGCCAGACGGCAATGTAATAATGTAGCATTGCCGGAAGACTATAAAACATTAATGGCTATAACTTTGTAGTACGTTCCCATTGCTGGAAGCCACAAACGTATGTTATTTGTACGTATATATCAACCTTCCATTGTTATGTAATACTGTAGCAAACTTCCATTGCCGAATTGATATACCTCTATGTTAAGTGCTAAACGTATAGCAAGTTTATATTGCCGGATTGCTACATAGTATCATTTTATGTGATAAATATGTACTAAAGTTTGTATTGCCGGATTGCTGTATAATCATGTTACGTGATAAATATGTACAACGTTTCTATTGCCGGATTGCTGTATAATCATGTTACGTGATAAATATGTACTAAAGTTTGTATTGCCGGATTGGTATATAATCATGGTATGTGATAAATTTATACCAAAGTTTCTATTGCCGGATGGCAGCACAATAATGATAGGTGACAAACATGTAGATGCAAGGAGCTGACACACCAGTTTAAATATCTGCTTTGTTATGTCACAGATTTACAAAAGACCTTTTCGATTATAAAATAATACTAAATTTGCTTTTGAATGAATAAATCTATTTCCTATCATGCTACACAATGCCTTTTTAAAATGGATATGTTTAATACTGTATTCATCCTTTCCAAAATCAAATCTAAATAAGTACGCTCTATGTTAATTCAATTTTCTGTTCAGCCTAATTGGTAATGTCGTAATGCATTGCCACCGCTATTTAAAGAGTTAGCGTGCCGTGGGTGAGTAACCAGTAATTAATGTTCCCACCTGTAAAAATATTATTACCGACATCAGTGTTTACCTGTTCCAAGAGACGGTGTATTAAAAATCGATTTACATATCCGAGACGTATTCTGTTTTAAGAGACAAGAAGACTCCACGAATCACTGTTATTTTAATACCAGAATCATATTGTGCATATTTGGTAGGAGTGTCAACATGATCGCTAATTATACCTTTCCCGATTCCCTTAAGTTAGCTTCCTTATCTGTAACGCTTTGTATATTATTTGCATACAATGAGAAAAATTATATAAAAAAAAGCTTACCTTTTTGTCCTCTTTACGAACAGCATCATAAATTTTCCAGACCATTTCTGGCCCGTAGCTACCAGTTTGGCGCCCAATTTCGAAGTATTTCGTGATTGGGTTTGAGTCTTCCGATGTGATGGTCTGTTTGATCAATGAAAACACGTCCATGCTGCAGAGTAACCCTGAGCATCTTATCCTTCCGTTAGAGTTAGTTTTTCCGCACCCTTTCCGACGGTCGACTTCGATGTCATCCTCGAAATCCACACAAATGTTCTCAATAGAAAAGTTCTCCAGCTTGCACAGCTTTGCAGTCTTGACTTAAAATCCAGCGATAAAGATTAAGAGATACTGGGTTAACAGGTGATTCCCACACCTTTGCGTGTTCTATGATTTCTATCTAACAGCCCAGAGAAACTTGATCGAAGATGCGTTTCATTGCCTTCTATATTTAGCACAAGAGCACACTATTGGTAATGGAATGACAAACGTTTCGTATGTTTTAAACATCTTTAGTATATTGCTAAAATCTACTCGTAATATAACAGTCATACACAGGTGAGCCATACATTATTGTACATCCTTCCTGAACACGATAAAATGGTAAAACATTAAGCCTTTCCGGTATGATGCTGTTATACTCGGTGACAATCCATTTGTCCCACTTACCACTAACATTCCACTGTTTTTGTGGGGAAACTCCCTTCACCTATAGATCTTTAGACGATTGACAAAATCACAGGAACAGACATCATATCACATGTTGTCAACTGTTTACGTACTCACTAAACCTAGCTCCATGAAGTAAGCCATCAGTTCATACTGCATCAGCCTATGGCATGAGACGATTGTAAAGCACTGACCAGTGCTATAGGGTAAGATCACTCATGCTAACAGTCAATATATTCACAGAGATTGTCAGTTATCTGGACCGTCGGTGTTGGATGTATAAATGAAAACATCAAACATAATTGCGTTGACTGACACTGGACACACGCTCCCTGCTATATCCCGGTAACAAAGCCTTGATTCTATGGGAGTTAAAACCTCACTGACGGACTTCGGAATCTATGCCACTGGACGCCTCAACAGCTCGGTATTGAGCTACTGCCAAGCGAAGCAAAGACTACGACAACGCTAACAGACAGAGCCTAGTCGGATTGACGTTGTGACACGAGTTGATATGGACTATGGTATGGCACGTGAATACATGCATACAGGGCCTTGATGAAGTAACATTGTATGATGTGAGAGTAACATGCAGGGCCTTGATGAAGTAACATTGTATGATGTGAGAGTAACATGTAGGGCCTTGTCGGAGGTACATTGTGTGATGTGACAGTAACATCCAGGGCCTTGTCGGAGGTACATTGTATGATATGACAATAACATACAGGGCCTTGTTTGAGGTACATTGTATGATGTGACAGTAACATACAGGGCCTTGTTGGAGGTACATTGTATGATGTGACAGTAACATACAGGGCCTTGATGAAGTAACCGTGTATGATGTGACAGTAACATGCAGGGCCTTGATGAAGTAACATTGTATGATGTGACAGTAACATACAGGGCCTTGTCGGAGGTACATTATAGGGTGTGACAGTAACATACAGGGCCTTGCCGGAGTAGGATGTGACAGTAACATCCAGGGCCTTGTCGGAGGTACATTGTAGGGGGTGACAGTCACATACAGGGCCTTGTCGGGTGTACATTGTATGATGTGACAGTAACATACAGGGCCTTGTCGGAGGTACATTATAGGGTGTGACAGCAACATACAGGGCCTTGCCGGAGTAGGATGTGACAGTAACATCCAGGGCCTTGTCGGAGGTACATTGTAGGGGGTGACAGTCACATACAGGGCCTTGTCGGGTGTACATTGTATGATGTGACAGTAACATACAGGGCCTTGTCGGAGGTACATTGCATGATGTGACAGTAACATCCAGGGCCTTGTTGGAGGTACATTGTATGATGTGACAGTAACATCGAGGGCCTTGTCGGACTTACATTACATAATGTGACAGTAACATACAGGGCCTTGTCGGGGGTACAGTGTAGGGTGTGACAGTAACATACAGGACCGTGTCGGGGGTACAGTGTAGGGTGTGACATTAACATACATGGCCTTGTCGGGGGTACAGTGTAGATCGTGACAGTAACATACAGGGCCTTGTCGGAGGTACATTGCATGATGTGACAGTAACATCCAGGGCCTTGTCGGGGGTACATTGTATGATGTGACATTAACACACAGGGCATTGTCGGAGGTACATTGTAGGGTGTGACAGTAACATACAGGGCCTTGTCGGGGGTACATTGTATGATGTGACAGTAACATACAGGGCCTTGCCGGGGGTACACTGTAGGGTGTGACAGTAACATACAGGGCCTTGTCGGAGGTACGTTGTGTGATGTGACAGTAACATACAGGGCCTTGTCGGAGGTACATTGCATGATGTGACAGTAACATCGAGGGCCTTGTCGGAAGTACATTGTATGATGTGACAGTAACATACAGGGCCATGTCGGGAGTACATTGTAGGGTGTGGCAGTACCATGTGACAATATTTACATTCTGTATGCTTAGACCCATTGACACAGGTGTTCATAGAATCACAGCACGTGGGAACTGATAGTAACCTGATCACACTGCGTAGTAATACACTACAAAAACTACTCACTCGGAACGACCGACCTAGATGCTTAATTCTTACATCTTAAAATATTATTGAACTGTGCTTGGTGAAATATCCACGTATTCACGTGTCCTGTGCTACAAATAAACATTGAATATGGAACTACATTTTACCGTTTGACGGTGTGACAGGTACATTGACCTGTTAGGATGATGATGTGACACAATGTACAGGGTCTACTTGCGATGACGGTGTGGCAGGTACATTGACCTGTTAGGATGATGATGTGACAAAATGTACAGGGTCTAGTTGTGATGATGGTGTGACAAGTACATTGACCTGTAAGGATGATGAGGTGACACAATGTACAGGGTCTAGTTGTGATGATGGTGTGACAGGTACATTGACCTGTAAGGATGATGAGGTGACACAATGTACAGGGTCTACTTGCGATGACGGTGTGACAGGTACATTGACCTGTTAGGATGATGATGTGACAAAATGTACAGGGTCTAGTTGTGATGATGGTTTGACAGGTACATTGACCTGTTAGGATGATGACGTGACAATGCGACAAAATGGACAGGGTCTAGTTGCGATGACGGTGTGACAGGTACATTGACCTGTTAGGGTGATGATGTGACAAAATGTACAGGGTCTAGTTGTGATGACGGTTTGACAGGTACATTGACCTGTTAGGATGATGACGTGACAATGTGACAAAATGTACAGGGTCTAGTTGCGATGACGGTGTGACAGGTACATTGACCTGTTAGGGTGATGGTGTAACAAAACGTTCAGAGTCGATTCAGTATGACGCTGTAACAAATGCATACTGGTCCTAATAAGAAGAAGGAATGATACGTGCACACTAGATATAATTTAACTGTCGATTTGACACAAGTATATGGGGTATAGTTGGACTATGTTAGCAGCATACAGGTCAGGACATCTGTTCCCCGGTATGAACGACCCATCTGGTACAAAAAAAAACATTGCAGGACTGCTGGGCAACGAGTGATAGAGACAAATTACACTACTGCTAACTCAATATTAGTAATACCCAGTCAATTCAGCTGTATTTGTGGCGTGGTAGTTTTATTGTTCTCTGTGTATTATATTACATGTTCTTTGTAATATTCGTTTACGTTTATTTTGTTGTTTTATGTTTATTTTGTTCAAAATGATTTTAACCTCTTTCAGCATTGAAAATATGAGGTGATAAACGCCACTAATGAGCAGTTCTAGAAATCATCAATACTTTGTCTGACTGTCTACGCGTTGTACAAACGGCATTTCTCATTTTCCGGTTAAGGCTGATCCTTGGGGACTAATTAAGGCACGAAGATATTAAATACTTTTCGTAACATGACGCATTGATTTTTATACAAGTTTGAAAAGTGTAAATATTTACTAATCCATTAATTATCTTGTTTGTTATTGCTGCTTACTGTTAACTTCCTCTGCTAGGTGACAGTATATAGTTGATTTGAGCTATAAGGTGATAAATGGATGTTAACAAGTTTCTGCTTAATCACATGAACAATTAGCGTTAAGTTAATTGACAAAACTGCATGCCGTAATTAGTATAACTAAATTAAAACAACATAAATCTAAGAGGTACAAAGGAAGAGGGACAACAACATTATAAATCATACAAGTAACATGAGGGACTGAAAACCCAATACATGGAAGCACAGAAGCACAAATGAAAAATGTAAAATCTAACATTTATATCATAGAGGTATAACCGGATATTCAACTCGCAGAATCACAGAAATACAACTGAAACAACAGAATAAAAAAAAAAAGTCAAGGTAAATCAGATTATTTTTTTACGAAAAAGAAAGCGACAAGAAAACATAACAGCACGTGATAAAAGGACCAGTGTGAGGAATAACGAGAGAATAAAAAGCATAATGCAGAATCATAGTGATTTATCAACAGTGGTACAACGGCGATTGGGGTACAACGGTAATAATAAAAATCGAATTAGGAAGAGTAAAATACATGTTAGAGTGAGTAATGCAACTTAGTTGGTCGACGTTCAATTCAATTCAAATTGGTCTTATCACATAGTGTACGGTGTTATCTAGTGATTATACCCATGTTATATTTGTTTGCGTAAAAACCCGTGTAATATGACCGATCAGCCCTTTGATTGGTTGTTTGCTTTAATTGTTTTAATTGTGACGTCACGCCTAGGACATATACAGACGTCAGAGCCTTACGCACTGGAGTCAAAATTGCGGGTTTTTTTTGCATTTCAAAGTTGCATAACAATTGTCGTTTTACACGAATAAATATCACAAATCTTGATTACGCGATAAAAAGGATCTTACACTTGTTTTCGTTTCATATGAAATTTATGAAACTCGTCACGAATGACTCGCTAAATTGAAAAAAAATCTTTGACTCGTTCCATTAAATCTCATATGAAATGGAAACTTATGTAAATTCCTATATTTATTCTATCGCACTTTATTGAATTCATACCATTCTATGACAAATGACACCTACAACACGTTACTAGTGGAATGCGCTACAGAGGTGGCCGTTACTCTACGCCAGTCTTTCCTGCGAGACAAGTATGGATGTTTCATCTACGAGAATCCATCAAATGTAGTAGTTTAGGTATATGTTCCTTTTTATGGATTTAGAAAGAGAAAACTGATATACCTATTTTCGTATTGTGTACCCAAATATAGACCAAGTGGATAACTATAAACAGTTTTAAAAGAGATTTAATAATATTGCTCATTTTTTTAGTTTCCATTGCTAATCTAACAAAGACGTTGTACATAATAATGAAGGTAGGTACGTATACATCAATATTATTGCTGTACTGACAATGAATAAAATTATCAATACCAACGCGTCAACTCATAAAGACCAGGTTGGAAACCATAGTCGATGTGATACAAATTGTATTGATTTCTCGTTTCACAGAAAAGTGTGAAAGATTCAGGCGTTCTAAGACAGAGTGAAATGTTTCTTTGTGCCATCATGAAAGAAAACGAAATATCAAAATAGGACAGCTAGCTATTGGATATAGCTTTTGTTATCGTGCTGGTGACCTCGTTGTCAAATAAGGTCTTAATTGCAAGTACACAAGCAAACGCTAAGGTGACTAGGAAAGTCAATAACATTGTATTTACACTTAAGAAAATGTGCTTTTGTTTGTTTGTTAGTTTGGCTTTTTTATGAAAAAACAGTGTTTTTCAATACAAATCCATCACGATTTCGTCATCACACTCACTATCCACGAACGAAGTCACACCTCCATGAAAAGGGTGTTGGGTAGGGGATGTTGATAGGGGATCAGTTTCAAAGCGTTTCTGATTTAAATTCCCGAAGTGACATCACTGGTGAAGAATGAAGATTAACGTAATTTCTAACAACTAAATCTAAGCCCGAACGACCGGATTGTTGAATGT